ATATATCGGATAACTAATAATAGTAAAAGTAAACAAGTCGTTCCAATTCCTGATTCAAACTGTGGACCAGAGTCTGTCAGCCACTTGGCTTTCCTTATTTCTTGCTAGTCTTCTGATTCTTCCTGATATTGGTGATGATGCTGCGAGACATGCGGCCAGCGGCCAGACGTAGTCCGCTGCGGAACGGCTGATGCTTGTAGTTCAAGCAGGGCTCATCCATTAGCTCTTCGAGATCATCGTCATCTGTGGTGGTTGTGTCCGATGGTGGAAAGTCAGCTCCAGCTGCAGTTCCAGTGCCAATACCAGTACCAGTTCCAGAGCCGATGCCAGTGCCAGAGCCGATGCCAGTGGCAGTGCCAGTTCCAGTGGCTATGCCAGATGCCTTCATCTTCAATTCATTGCCAGCATCCAGTTTGAGTGCCCCGCCATTATGATTAGCCTTAGGCTTAGCATTAGCTTTAGCATCGGCAACGACATCAGCATCAGCATCGATGGGGACATCGACATAATTAAGCCCAGTGGCGTCCAATGATTTGCGTGTCTTCTTCGTGGTGTTCTTCGTGCAGCACCAATAGGAGGCGAGAAAGTCTAGCTCCTCGGATGACGATGAGCTCTTCAGCTCCTCCTCCGGCACGCATTCGTCAATTTTGTGCTCCGACTGGCGGACGAAGCTGTTTGTGGACATCTTCATATCGTCGGCGCTCAACGAACGCTTCACCCGCAAATGGTCACGTGTGCGGCGCAGTCCGCTCGGAGTTCTCTCGTGTCCGCCCTTCTTAACGGTCTGCTCATAGTTCTCAGCGATGCGCGACACGTGACGCTGCTTCTGGTCGAGCTTGTCCAGTTCCAGTTCCTTTTCGCGATACTGCTTGGGTGTCAGCACCAATGGCTGCCAGTATAGCTCCAGCGTAGACATGCGCTTCACGCCCTCATCCTCCAGAATGCTATCGTTGGTCAGCAGGCGACCCTTATAAGTCAGCCGGCTAAATGCCATCGGCACGTTCATGGTGCGTCCAATGCGCTTCTTCAAATCGGCCACGTTGCGAGAGCGATCGGTCTCATAGATGTTCTTGCGACCGTCGCGGGTCAGAATTTGGATCTGCAACTTACGCATCTTACAAACGGCAAGTGGAATGTGCATCTAAAATGGATAGAGATTGTCGGACAGTCCACGTAGAAATGATTTGTGCAGCTGCGTTTTCTATTTAATGTAATTTTTAAATGAAAATTGTGTATTTGACTTTAGTCTGGCTTTTTAGCTAAGCGAAATATAACTCAAAGCCTATGCTGCTATATTTATTTTTATGAAATGAAATAACTCGGACTGAGACTCAATTGTCAAATTTTGTAATCTCGTAGTGCCCCCCTCAGCCTCTGAACATATGACGATCTAATATATATATATTTAATATAATAGGTTTTTTTTAATTAAAAATTTAACTTGAAGCAAATATTTATTTGGATGCTCTGTCTCTATCTTTCTTCCTGTCTCTTTCACTCTCTATCTCTCTGTATCACTACCGCTCTCCCTTACTTTCTCTATAGCTAAGTCTCACTATCCCGCATTCTCTCTCTCAATTTCTTTCTATATCATTATCACTCTCTCTATAGCTCTAGTCCAGTATTGCGCCTTCTCTCTCTCACTCCCCCTATATCAATCACGATAGCTCTCTCTCTTCTCCATTTCTCTGTCTCTCTCTCTCTCTGTCTCTCTCTCTCTCCCTCTCTCTCTCTCTCTCTCTCTAATTCTCTGTCTCTCTTGCTTCCGCTCAGCTTTTCTCCCGTTCACTCCATCTCCCGCGCCCTTTTTCTCTCTCTCCGCCTCTTCTGCTCTCTTACGAACTGCATCCTTGCTTATAAGAAATCTACAGTCTAATTAAAATTAATTGAAAATAAAATATTACGAAAATTGGGATATGACAAGATTTATATACAGCAGAATCCGGCTATAACGACACGTCAAGGGACCGTAGTTATACCCGGATAGCGCTATAACCGTAAAAGTTTGCTCATCAAAGTTTGTCTGGGGACCAGAATTTTCGTCGCTATTGCCGTACAGACGCTATAAGCGGAGTCGTTATAACCGGATTCTACTGTATTCGCCTCTGAGGAAGTGAACACGCTTTCTTTCTTTCTGTTCCTCTCTCTCCCGCTTTCTCTCCCTTCATTTCCTCTCTTACCTCTTACTCTCTCTCTCTCTCACTCGCTTAGAAACCGCTTCCGCATATTGTCCCATAGTGAGTCAATCGAAAGACTGCGTTTGTGTGAAGGTGTTGATAAATTTATGCATTGGCATTGCTTCCGGTTCTAATGTGCGTGTGCGTGTGCGTGCGCGCGTGGGTATGTGAGCGAGTGTGCGTGTGTCAACCATCGAAGCACTGCAAATGAATGTGGCAGCCAGTCCTTAGACAAGCTACCAAATCAATGGCACCCCATAAAAATAACAAAATACACACATTTATCTGATGCTGGAGCTCGCAGAGGAAATCTTTGTTGATGCAGTTCACAGAGTTCAAGAGATTTTCAAGATTCCGATTCGATCGTTTGTATTAAATTTCTTCTTTATTAACGAAGGTGAAAAGAAGCACGTACAATAATTATTTTTGCAAAAATGTGAAATGGAAATGGAAATACAATTGTAAAATGTCAACTCCAAAGTGTCACTTAGAGCAGCACATGGAAGAGAGAGCAGGCCAGCATCAGAGCCAGGGACAGCATGACGGTGATGGCACCATCGCGTGCTATCGGTATGAGGGTATCGTTGGCCAGCAGGGCATTGCAGCCGTGTCCCTCGCAGGTGTAGCAATTGCCATCGATGACGCACTGCTTATTGGCCTGGGCCGAGCTGAGGCAGCCGCGCTTGAACGCCCCCTCGCCTGTGCGTCCGTTGTAGCGAATGTAGCACTTGTCACCGAGCTTATAGGTTGGACAGACCTTGCTGTAAGCATGATTCTCGATGGCGCAGCTCGAATTGATCGAATCACCGGAGCATTGCAGGCACTTGGGGCGATATTGTGGGAAAATCAGACGGTTGCAGCCCTCATTCGCTGAGCAGACGAGACACTCCAACTCATTGTTGCACGAGTTCAATGTGTTGTTGTCCAGTTCGCTGGAGCAGCCACGAATCGTATATCCATCTAGCCCAAGACGTTCAATTGTTATTGTTAATCAGTTGTGCACTTTAGCAATTAATTATTCAATTCAACTGCACTGACTACATACTTAAGACGCGTGTATAGCAGAGGCTATTATTGGTAGGGCAATCCTTGGCCAAAATGCTCAATGGCTGTGTGGCGCAGCGCTCTTCAGTCTTCGAATGGCATTGCACGCAGGCATCTGTACAGAAAGACAAGTTTAGACACATCAACCAACATACATATGTACATATAAATTAATTCGAATTTCATAAAACATTTCATACTCGAATAGTATTTTATCGAAATGCTTGCCACTCGCCCATATGGCGGGCTTGACGACAATATAACTGTAATTCAATTGCAAGTCTCAGTTGCCAGATCCTTTTATTTTTCGTCGCCCCTGCCAGACATGCGCAATTCGAATACAGGCAAGTAAACAGTGATCTGATTAACGGGCACAATTGATAATTATGACACAATTCTCTTATCATAGGTAAATGCCAACGTCTATTCATAAGTCTACATATGTGTGTGTTTACCGTCATATATGTATAAGCGATTGAGATATTGAGTTCTTTACCGTAAATTCAGAAAGGCGTCGTATGACTAACCGTGTAAATCGATTATAAAAGGGTTCCGTTTGAGCTTATCTAAAAACACCCACATACATATATGATGTATACATACATTTTATTTATTCGTATATAAATATATATATTTTTTTAATCCCAAAAAACAAAAAAAACAAAAAAAAAAAACAAAAACGAACTCATGTACACATATTATAACCTTTACTCTGTTTCCATGGAAGATAAAGAGAGCTACAGATAAGCTTCGCGTATGTATGTATGTATGTGCATATGTCTGCATCGTTAGTAACAATTGGTGACCATGTATATTTTTGTGTATTACACAAAATCTAACAACAGGTGTGCAAGCATACAACCCATGCGATACATTTATACCAATATACATCTATCTTAAATCGGCTTAATTTATATACATATCTGTGTATATTACATAGATGTATATCTCCTGAAGTGTTTGCCGGCTATTACATTCTCTATATTAACTGAACTCACACATGCATACATACATATATGTATATGCATACTATTGAGACGCAAACTTGTGATCGATAAGCAATAAGCTTACGTACGTACTATATATAAATGGATAAGATAGAATATAATAAGAAAAAAATAACTTCGACTACCAATCTTACATAAGACACATATTCCACACATTAATATATACATGTACATATATTAGGGCACAAAGAAAAAAAAAAAAAAAAAAAAAAAAAAAAAAAAAAAAAAAACTGAAAAATAGTTTAAACAGTTTTTACCACTGTGGACGTAAGCCAAAAATGCGCATGCAGCAATGATCAGCAAATAGAACTTCATTTCGAGTATATTTAAGACTAGGACACAATTATTTGCTATAAATACTAATTTGTTATTAATGTGTATACGATCGAGTCGATATTGGCGACACTGCACTTGACACGTACGCTTTGAAGTCTAGAAATAAACTAAAAGCTAGAGTAACGGACGCAAATATACATAGTAAAATTCCACAGAACAGTTACATATCGGAATGTTAATAACAGTAGAAGATTTACTGAGCGATACCGTAGCTCTCATCGATCATTTGATAGTAGTCCATTAGCGATTAAATGTTAATTTTAAAAATATAATTACTCAATATTGAATTAATTAATACAAGGGCTGCTAAGTATTGATTGCATACACCTAAAATAGCGCAAAACTCGACTTGTATTTTTTAAAAATTTGTTTCAAATTCAAATGGCAGACAAAAGCGGTTTGTTGTATCGATAACCTGTGTAAAACAAATCCATTATATATTGTATTAAAAAAGTAATTTCTAGTCACAATTTCTTTAAAAATTAGCAATCTAAGCCAAGAAAGCTGATTTAGTTCTGGGCTGGTTATTAACTGAATAAATATGCACATATGAAATATGAATGGTATCCCGCAAACATTCTTATGTAGATTTTCTAACTATCGATATATCGCACTGGAAGTGCTATAGTGCTGCCACACAATCTAAAGAAACATATGTAATCAGATGGCAATTGGACCCATGCATATTGGAATATAAGGATTGCATTTGCGCAAACGCTTAACTGGGTTTAATGATTTCAACAGAAGCTGTATTAGTTGAAAGTGCATCGAGGACACCAGTCACAGCATGACATTGATAGTGTGCATCTGCGATTATTGGCAACGCCGTCATTACTACAATCGACAGTCCATACAGGCAGCAGGCGGCACTGACGCTGACAAGAGCCAGAAAAAATCTGTTCGCCGGCTACAATTACAGCTAGATGCCATCACTGGCAACTATTGGCTGCGCGAACTGCTTCAGCAGAGGGCGTTGCGCGAGCGACTGCAGACAGAGCACAATGTGCAGCTACTATGGCTATCCTTCCATCCGCCAGAGCGCGACACCATCGACTATAAGTGGGCAGACATGCTAGCGCATACAATATGGGAACATATCGAGATGGAGCATCTAATGTCCTGGCTCTCCACGCTAGGCGGCGGTTTCTCAGCCCTGGGCGAACAATTCGAGCGCTGTGTAAGTGCAAAAATGTTCGAAGTGCAACAGAATGCAGAAGATTAACCAAAAACATAAAAAAAACAAAACAAAACTATGCAAATTATAGGCCCAGACAGCGGGAAAGATATCACTGCAGCAGCTAACGATTGGTCTGCGAGTCGGCGATCCATTTCTGCAGGCGCGCTGCAAGCTCTACTACAGCATTTCCTTAATCCAGCGAGGCCAGCTGCGCAAGGCCAAGCAAATGATTCGCGCCCAATATCAGTTCGCGAAGCAGCACGAGGAGCACGATCACCGATTGGTGCGCATGTGCTTGGGCATTTGGCTGCGATTGCGCTACGAGTACGAGGAGCGGAGGAAGCGGAGACTAGCTATAAAGGATCAGTCGTAATTCTCTCGAAGAGATTCATTAGAAGACTAAGCATAAAATGAAAGCATGGTTTACTGTTAGTTGTTAAGATACAAAATATACTATTTACATATTCTATAATAATATATATATATATGAATACATATATATATCTGTTTGGATTTTTGTATAGGTATATATATTTATATACATATGTATGTATATAATTCTTTATTTGTATGTATGTATATGTATATGTACGTATAAAATGCGATTTAACATTCCAACAGCGCGTGGCCGGCACCAATTCACGCTAAACTCTTCTCTTCCTCTCTGTTTTTCGTCCCCATTTGAAAAAACATTTCCATTTTTTACTTACAACTACACAGTTTTCTTTTCTATGCGTGTGCTAGGATTATATATGTAGAATAAAATATGCTACCGAAAACAATTGACGTCACATGTGTGTGTGTGTGTGTAAGTGTGTGTGTTTGTGTATATGTCTCTCTATATAAGTTTTATCTAATGTGAGCCACTTGATGAATATCAGCTGAGAGAAGCCTATACGCATGCGCTATATACATGCATATATATAAATAATAAAAAAAAAATGTATGAAATATATATATAGAAATCTGGCTAAAGTTTTAAGTTAGATTATCGCCGTAACTGAACATAGAATTTAAAGTTTTTGTGTGGATATTGCTTGCAGTGCCAAATGGTTGTTATTGTTATTATTTCCATGCTTGTCCCCCTCTAAAGCTTCATTCCATGCGACTTATTGCGCCAATGTGCCCATGGGATCCCAGGCGGGCAGCACAATGGGATCCATGTCGAATACGCGCATCACATCTTCGGGCACATATTTCTTATCGACGACCACCTCGAAGCCGAACTCCCTAAACCAATCGGCGCACATGACCAGATAGCCCTTCTCGCCACGATCCTCGCCCCAGGAGTTCTCCACGCGCAACTTTTGAGCAACGCCATTTTTCTGCAACATAAACAGAATGATGCTTACAATCATATCATATCATATACATGGAAATAAATGGCGCTTACATCCACAGAGACGGCTGTGAATACCATGGCGTGGGTCATGGCCGATTCACCATAGATGAGACGATCCGCCTTCGAAAATGTTGTTTGTATGTCAATGTCGAAGACCAGCTTGAAATCGTGGCTGCATCCATCGAAACGAACGAGACGGCAAGTGCAGAGCACATGGGTAAGAGAGAGAAGGATATAGTTGCTGGCAATACATATTTACACACACACTTACACATCAACATCCTCGATACCTTGCTTGGAGGCGAAACGCTTGCTAACCTCGCAACCAAACCAGACGGCTTCTCCAGCCTTCAGCGATTTGGTTACCATGGCCAATAGGAGATCGACATTTTGATTGTTGTAGAGCACCGGACGACCGCCGACAACATTGCCCAGACAATCGACCGTATAGACCTGGTCGTAGCTGCTCGTTGGACGTGGATCAGTGACCAGGCACACCTTGTCCTCGACATTGAAATGCGGCTTCACATAGCGCTCATAAAACTCCAGCGAACTGATGGGTCCAATGGACTGATAGTTCTTCGACTTATCATAGTACTCCCAGGTGAACGTCTCGGAGGGAATGCCCAGGCAAATGCCAACCACCTTGTAGATCTCCGACATTTGCTCTTGAATCTTGCAGGTGATCTCCTCATCACTGGGCTGCTTCTCCAACAGAACACGCAAGTGCCTCGCATATTCGCGCAGCTGTAAGGGATCAAGATCAGGGAATGAATTTTAGTTTGTTTTTCTTCTTTTATTGTGATTCACGAATCGGTAGTCAGCCGACTTACCTTGCTCTTCAGTATGGCATTCATTCGTATGCTGGACTCGCAGCTAAAGCTCTCCGGAAAGCATTTCTTTGGCATGAGACCATGTTTGGTTATCAGATTGACCAGCATGTGCCACTGGCCTCCATCAGAGGTTGGGTCGAGCAACAGGAACGACACCAAACGGCCGTCGACTTTTTCGCCGCGCTTTGCCGTCTTCACGATGTTGTTGAGGAAATAGTTGCAACGCTCGATTTTGTCCCAGTAGAAGAGGAACGCCTGCGAGAACTCGAACTCATCCAGATTGTAGCTCTTCATGAAGGGCAGGCGTATACAATTAAGGGCGGCAAACAGCCAGCAGCGACCGGAGCTGCGCTGATTGGTAACCGGTTTGCCCTCCGTTTCCACCTTATAGTTGAACACATGATTGGTCGTCTCCAGCGTCTTGCGGGACAGGCACACATCGAACGGATCGACACGGGAGCAAACGTTCTGGGCAAGCAGATTCTTGGGTTCGCTGTAGAAATTCTCGCGCCACTTGCTCAACAGGTCCGGCGTAATGGCACTCTGGTTCCCATCATCCTTTGACCCGAACATCTTGCCGTCGCTGGCGTTGTTGTTGCTGCCATTGCCGCCACCTTGGATAATATCGTTAGCTGCAAGTATATTGGTACTACTCGTAGTGCTTGTGGAAAACAATCCAGCTGTTTCTATAGTCTGCGTTGCACCTGCACACGTAGCTACAGTTGCAGGCGCAGGTACATTTGCCATCTGCGAGAGCTTCATTGCGCGTGCAAGCCGGTACACCACAAATTTGTTATACTCTGATACAATTAAAAAACTTCTGTCACATATTTAACAATTACTATGAAGCTGTCGAATACATACGCTTGTACATAGTTCTAGGATCTGTGGGCGTAATCTATCACAGCTAGCTATTATTGAAAACAAAATACATATATAAAAGCCACACAGATATACAAAATACTTGTATATGTTAAAAGACTATCGGTGTAAGCATAATAGTTCGATA